CCATTGAGGCGGTGGAACAAGATCCATTTGTGGCGGATGATGGGGGTGAATTGGAAGGTCATGAGGATGCCGGCGGGGAGGATGGCGGCAAGGTGGATGAGCATGCCGTAGCGGTAGGAGCCGCTGCGGAAGTAGTACCAGTAGCCGGGGACAAGGGCGAAGTTGCGCTTGAAGTAGCCGTCGTAGTCGAGGTCGCCCAGGCGCGAGAGGGAGAAGCCGAGCATGCCGCCTGCGAAGATTACCCCTAGATGACATTGTTGGTTTTTGTCGTTTAGACTCGAGGGTGAGGTTCAGAGGGGGAAACTTACATAGTGGGAAGTTGTATCCTTTGCTGAATCCGAAGAAGCGATACACCTTTCGATATGCAACCAGATATTTATTGGTAGGTTCTTTGTTCTCGGATGCGGAGCTGGTCTCGCTGGGGTTCTGGGTGTCTTCTTCTTTGGTCATGGCGACGGGATGGGAGAGTGAAGGGGCTCGAGGGTGGTGTACAAAACTTGGTATTGGCAATGAAACAAACAGGTGTTTGAGTGTAGGATTCTGTTACTTTCAAAGTGAAACAAAATATTTTAAGTATCGCCCGAGCTCATATACAACGACCACATGGCCATAGCACGAGAAACTTTCCGCTCCAGTACCCGTAGCCACCGTGAACCGTGTCTGCGTGACACTGCAGCCGCCGATTTCCGACGCTCAGTTAGTAATGTTCAAAGTGTCAGTCCACCGGAGACTTGGGGGTCACTCGAGCCAAGGTTTTGGTCGTGCGGAGATGGAGGCTTCAGCAGTCGGAGATGGTGGTTGCAGCAATGGGAGGCCATGGTCCACGGGATCCGACTGCTCTGCCCGAATACCTCCGTCCCGATATGGGTGCGTGCATTAATGTATTTGAAACTTAAAATTTTCTGGAGTCAGGCAGTTGCATATTTTGCATGTCGTCGTGCTCCGATCGCTGCTGCATTACCCGCTGCCGCTCTATATGCATCCCAAGAAATGCCAAGACCCCGATGGTGGTCGGTGTAACATGGGACCAAGCTTTCCTATTGGGATATATTCACAAAGTTCGTGGTCCTCCACCGTCTTGGTTTTATATTAGCAATCGATGAAGAGTATCGGTGCCGCTGAGATTTATTGTTGGGAAGAGTGCAGAATATAAGGCTGCCGTTGAGCGGCCATTACTTTGGCCCCTGAACCGTTAAACGAAAATACTGTGTGAGCATCACATACTTCGTGTTGTATGCAAGTCAAAAGCGTGGAGTTTATCCTTAGCTATAGACCTCTTGGATAGCATATCTCATTTGGACGTCGAAAGCGTTAAATATTTGAGTTTTAACATCCTATAGAATGGATAGAAGGCCTTACATGAGACACTTGGCGAGAAGGCCCATTTGTATTATCATTTGATGTCGGTATATGGCTTGAATGTTATTTTTCCTTGCACTGAGTTGTAGTACCTAGAGTGATGTAGACAAACTAGGTGGTTTGGGATATGCAGCAGTCAAACAGGAGAATTCTATGGAAACATCCTTAACACCAGACTTCTATAAACCCTACCTCGGCAACAGGAGATTGATATTAAAGTTCTTCATTAACAAAGATAGTGAACAACTATCTTGGCGTTTTACGATCAATGCGCATCGAATCAAAAGTGCTGAATTTGCGTAGTTTTAGTTAAGATTAGCACCCGGTAGAGTTCGTCACATGTGACATCGATACGCGTTGGATTAGATAGTGTCTAGTTTGGATCTGAACCATCTCCATTTGTTTACATACTCCTAACTATGTTTTCTCTCTCATGTCCCTAATGTACCGTATGCCGTAAGTGGCAATTATTATCGAATCGAAATGCTGTGAAAACGCCATACAAAACGCTGTGCTGACTCGTGAAAAACACCAAGCGATCGTTACAGTAAGGGGAAAGAAATTCAAACTATGACTGTCGACTCACCAACCTCCTCGAATCCATTTTCATATGAGCCCCGTCATCAAAACCTAATTGTCAATGCATCATTTTAAGTTGTCTCAGGCCATGGCTGCGACCTGGCCACCGCCCACTTTGCGGAACTAAAGATATGTCAGCAGTTTGTGGTGTATTCAATATGAATGAAGTGTACTTACACCAAGGAATGGTGAGAGAAGAGCCGTGAGACCACTGGCAATAATGGTCATGATGTAAACGTTGCTCATGACGTCGGTAATGACGTTCGCAAGTCGGAATTGCACATCTGGGGAGAAGCTCTTCCACTCTGCGCTGCTCGAGCCGGCAAGAATGGCACGCGGGTTGCCAGTAAAGTCGGATGGCAGGTACGGAACGATGGCTTCACGGCCCACATTCTGGAATACGTTGCCGCAGAGAGCGGGGAAGAGAGTAATTCCAATGCACTGCATGAGGCTGATGACACCAATGGCGTTGAAAACTTCCTTGGGCTCGACAACGTCCGAGATACAACCAAAGGCGGCGATTAAGTAGCAACCTCCGCCAATACCCAGCACAACGCTGTATCCGTAGATTGCTGAGACGCTTGTGCCAACTTCGACCGTGTACATGAGTGCACCTCCAACAACAGCCAGAAGCGAGCCGACAAGGAACCAAGGCATGTAGTAGCCCCATCTCGACATGAAGAAACCGTTCATAATGGCCGTGAAGGAGACCATGAAGACGAAAGGAAGGAGTTTGACAGCAGCGTTCACGGGAGACTCGCCTTTGGCAAACTGGAAAAAGAGCGGGATGTAGTAGATGGGGATGTACACAGCAGCGGCAGCAGCGAAAGTGGCGAACTGCAGAATTCCCAGCTTAAAGTTTCGGAGTAGGTGGCTAGGGTAGAGTCGGTTTTCCACATCGATGAAAGGATGGAACCTGTGGGTGAGGTAGAAGCCGATTGCGAGAACGCCAACAAAAACCCAGAGGATGATCATGCTGTAAGAGTCCCATTCGAAAAGGGTCCCACCATAGGTGACAGCCATGAAGAAGGAGACGCACCAGCCGGTCCATACGACTAGTCCAAGCCAGTCAACATGGTCCAGCCTCTGCTTGGCGGACTTGCCCTTTGCGAAGTCGATGGACGGCAAGATGAAGACTAGGACAGGTCCAGCCAGTGCGAAGATCAAGAGGTTAATGTAGAAACCCCATCGCCATCCAAGGCTACTTTCGGCAAATCCTCCGCCGACCTTTGTACATATAAAGTCAGTCATGCGCATGCGACAATAACATGGAAAGTGGAAAATTACTTACGATTGGGCCCAGGGCAGTTCCGATTCCCCAAGTTGGCGAGATGAGAGAAATGTAAAGAGGGCGCTCTTTGGGCGTAGTGACAACGCTGAAGAAAGTCAAGGAGCCGACGTAGATGCCGCAACCGCCAATACCAGCAATCATGCGCCCAACAATGAGAGAGTTCATGGTTGGCGAAGCCGCAGAAATTGCACTGCCGACCTCGAAGCAGACGACGTAACCAAAATATAGCCATTTAATGTCGAAAGCTCCATACATCTTAGACTGAATGAGGGCGAATGCAGTGGCTGGAAGGGCGTAGGCCGTGGCAAGCCATGGATACTTTTCAAACTCCCCTAGAGATTCAATGACATTGGGCTGTATGTCTGCCACGACGGTGGTGTCGAGAGCGAAGAGGAATACGCAGGAGAGAACGGCTAAGACGGTCATGACCCACTTGATGCCATGGATCTTACGCTCGTACTCTGGTCCTTCGTCCCCTGTTGGCTCGGTCGTCTCTGGTGGCTTCTCGTCGAAGACTGGGCTCTGAGAGCGCCTTAGTTGTGTGTCGTTCATTTGAGCGCCGTTGTCAAGCGAACGTTTTGGAGACGGCGATGTATCGGGGGTGGAGGAGGAAGCGTATTTTTCCGATGATGCTGACATGGTGAAAGTGAGTTGTTTGTCTTTCACTTGTCTAAGTGTAGTCTCTTGGCAGACGGGGTATCAGGGGCAGCTACTGCCCGCCGCTACACAAACAGCCTTGTATGTGAAGTGGCTTGAGGTGCTTGCTATTTGGGTATTTGTCCCGTATGAGGGGCGGAGTATCGGCAAGGTACACAGTTGGCAGGAGTGGAAGAGGGTTGATGACACGAGGTAAAATGGAGTTTTGGAATGTTGGAACTAAAGTTTGATACTGTAGCTGGGAAGGGAATGAATGGCTTTTGTATGTTGTGTGTGAAACGAACAGGCACGACCCAGTTGATGCTTGTGAAATAACATGATTGAGGTAACACAACGATTACGTGCCAAGATATGCAACTGGGTGACCATTGCCAGAAACAAAGGGGGGTTGCCTCGAAAACAGTATACATAAAAGGATGAAAAGCAATCAAGAAATGTCAGCCAACAGCGTGAGCACAACAGCCTTGCCTAGAAGTTTCCAGCTCAGGAACGGGTGCGGCACAGACTTGGAAATTAGGCAGCCAAGAGAACTCCAGCACGATCCCGATCGTGAATTGCTAGATGATATGCATCGATGCATTTCTCGAATGGGGGTTCGACAGTATTCATTATTCAGCAACGTCCGACAGTCAGATGCTACAAGACGACACCCCTGTCACGCTAATGCAGCTGGCTGACCATCTATACCCAAACGACGTCATCTTACTACCCTTCTCCTAAAGTGCAAGGCCCCGCTCGCGATCCATGAAAGTGCTGTAGGAAACGGCATCTTGGCGTTTTCGCTTCACATGCGGCCCCGAGCAAAGCCAGCCTCATCGGCCCCGAGCGCGCTGCATCTCTCTTCGGTCTGTTTTTCATCTCCGCCTTCAGGAAACATCGTCACTTTGCACCGAGAAGTGGATGATACTTGCTTCAAGAGAACTGCGATAGAGTCTAGGATGTTGAGATGACTTGTATTTAACGAGCACAGCTATACCAATGTCTTCATGACAATAGATAATCAAAATCATCGCACACTTTCGAACTTCCTATCGTTAAGAATCATTTCATAGAATTTTCTCATCTATTCCCTTTGTCTAAGGCATCTCCGGATCCGCTCCCCTAATCATACAAAATGTCAACCTCACTGGCAGCCTCCTCTTTGCTCTCCGTCAAGAAGTGGGTTGTGGTTGGTGAGTGGTAGAAGAGCCAAACATGACTGAAGAATCCTCCTGACTGATATACGTAACTAGTAACTGGTGGAGGCACTGGAATTGGATTGAGTACGGCCACCTCACGCAAAGCGCTGCTACCCTATCGGCGAGGCTTCACCTGCACAGCGCAGCGCCCTCCCATGAATCGGAATCATTTGCCTACTAACTTATGTGACAAGTGTACGCAAAAGCCTTGGCCGCCAATGGAGCCAAAGTTTACATCACCGGAAGACGTCAAGAAGTCCTGGAAAAAAGTGCCAGCATCCACGGATCTGCAGACGAGGTTAGCGCTGCTGGGGGTCAAATTGTTCCCCTTGTCATGGATGTAACCAACAAGGATAGCATCAAGCATGCTGTGCAACACGTCGAAGAAGCTCATGGCTATCTTAATCTGTAAGATTTCATTTCACTTGTTGGATGCATAATCATAGGAGTCGTTCAGCTACTCAATGGTTTACTTCTGCTAGCAATTAGCTGATCGTAACAATAGGCTCGTGAACAATGCTGGTGTTTGGACTACAAAGCCTGAGGCAGGGCCTGAAGATGGACCCGAGAAATTCGGTAGCTCCATGTTCGACCAGTCTATTGATCTCTGGCAACAAGGTATGTTATCGCAATAATTCCAGTATGGCTAAACATGAGCTGCGCAATACTGAACGTCTAAACTCAGCCTTCCTCGTCAATGCCACCTCTATCTACTTTGTAACAGCAGCTTTTCTACCCCTACTAGCCAAGTCCATCTCCGGCCCCACCAAAAAGATGGGAAGTGTAATCAACACCACCTCCAACAGTGGTCAACTTAGAATGTGAGTTTCACCCTGCAACCCTCCATTGGCAAGATGTATGCTCACGATACCAAGGTCCGAGGCCTCCCAACTAGCCTACAACGTACGTCCCTACTCAACACCCACTTTCTCCACCCTTCTTCACCACTGACCCCACACCATAGGTCAGCAAAGCCGCATCCGTCCACATGACCCGCCAACTAGCCTTTGATTTCAGCCACGAAAATATCAAGATCCGCGTCAACGGCATCGCACCAGGTACATCCACTCACCCTGCCCCATCCTTAAACCCTCCCTCCCAGACCTTCACATACATCTTGGGTAAAAATGAACAAATATCTAACAAACGTGTATAAGGCTGGTTCCCCTCCGAAATGACCACCGGCGCCTCCGACGACAAAAATGAGAGCACAGCCCAGGACGACCCGGCGTTCCAGCAGGAAATGCGGAATGTTGGTGCGCGCGTGCCTCCTGGTCGCATGGGCAAGGCGGAGGATTTGGCTAGTGTATGCTTTACTCCCATCCAAATATGCTTGTATAGAGGTTGCTGACGGAATTTTGCGAACAGGGCCTTCTCACGCTCGCTACTAATGATTATATCTGGGGCATGAATCTTGTTATTGATGGGGGTATTTTGCAGAGTGTTGCTGGCAACATTTAGGATGTTTAATGTATGGCATGGTATTTGAAAGGATTTTTCTTTATGAATGGGGGAGTAAATAGGTAGTTTAGGAGGTAATGCGATGGCTCCTAATTTTGCTGAATTCTTCAGTCCGACTCGATTGGTATAATGTTATCAGGAGATCAAATATGAGATGCGTGTCATGCGAGTTCGCTTAGGATATCCCTTCATGAGTCTCGAATGAAATATCTCAAGAACTCTTTTCGCAACTTCTGCGAGAATTGTTGTTGTTCATGACGACAACGATTTTACCAGTTTGTATCATTCCCACATTGTCATCATTCAAAGTGTGAGATATGTGGGGCGGGCACGTCACGTGAGGATATTCGGGGTAAATGTCATCGGGCTTTATTATGTGGGGAACTATAACTACATACAACGATGTCGTGCATTTCGCACGAACGATCGGACAGCAAAGTAGTCTATGACGTAGGATACCGAAGTACACAAGAGATGAAAGAATGCTTGTTTCAATTCTACCACTACTCAAACTATAGTACAACATCACGCAGCAGCGCTATTCTCCGCCAACACCCCATTACTCGCTTTTATCTCATCCATACCCTTTCCTTGGTTCTTCTGTTTGCTCTTGAAGTACTTTGTAAAGTCGTGTCGAATGTTGTGAATGCTCTCTGCAATACTCTTGCCCCAGACGGGGTCGTCGGCAACTTTTTCGCACATCTCCCAGAACTGCTTTCGCTTCTCTTCGTACGCGGGGTCCCAGAGGCGGTGGAAGTTCTCGCGGGACATAGGGTCGATCATTTCGCGCCAGATCTTGATGCGGATTTCGGAGTAGAGGTCGAGGATGGATTCGTCGAGTTCGTCCAGGTGGATGCCGGTGAAGCAGTCGTAGAGAGACCCGACGTCGGCGAAGCCACCGGTTAGACCCAGGCCACCGCTGAGACTTGATTAGTGTTTTTTTCTAGACAGTATCTGGGGAAACTTACAAGGGATTACATAGATGGGCAGCGTCGGCGACTAACAAGACCCTGCCAACTCGGAAGCTGGGAGCACATCTTTGCTGGAGCTTGTACGGACTCATGCTAACGAGTTTGTACTCATTGGCCTTTGGATGTCCGATTAGAATCTGCTCAAAGCGAACGGGTTGGCGTTTGACCAATTCGTCTTTTGAAAGGCCCTCCGAGTCACCGTACGTCACTCGCCAAAGGCCATCTTCTGAGATTTTGGCGGCCATGTACCAATCAGTCGGGTGAACGACGAAATTTGAGTCCCACCAGCCATGGCGCTCGTCAAAGGGAAGGTAGACCTAGGAAGTTAGTGAAAGATCTCTCCGTACATCGGCTGTAGACGTACATTGGTAGCAATAATCTGCGCTGGAAGCGTCTCTCCTGGGTATTCTTTTCCAAACAGTGCAGTGCGCACACCACTCGAGGCACCGTCTGCACCAACGAGATAGTCGCCGGAGATCTTCTTCTTTTCTCCGTCGATCGTCTCTATCACTGCTGTTGCGCTCTTGTCATCCTGTTCCACGTCTATGAATTTATGGCCCCACAGGATCTCGGTGTTGGGATAGCTTTCGAAATGCTTTACAAGTAGTGGACCAAGCTTATCTAGCGGCAAAACGACCATGGCGTACTTTGAATCCTCTGGTTCGCGGCCCATACCGCCTAGAAAGGTCCCGTCCGGCTCACGCCAACATACACCTTTGGGCGTGAATCCTTTTGCACGGACATCATCAATGATACCGGCACGATGGAAATCGTATACCGCAGATGGAGCGTAATGGGCGGCCCGGGGAAGGCCACTGACCTTAGTATCGGCCTCGAGGATAGTAACCTTGATGCCGAGGTTTTTCGCTAGTAGTATACCTAGCAAAAGACCAGAAGGGCCGGCGCCCACAATAATGACCTACACGAGTCATTACTAAACATAGAGAGAGTAGAGGGACGGCAGAGCATACGTGGTTAAGTTTCGGCATGGTGGTGATTTGATACTTGTTACTGCAAGAGCTGCAGGACCATATGTTAGAAAACGTGCATATTTTAATTACACGTCCCTCGTGGTGGGGCAAGCAATTCCCCGCGCCCCAGCCCTCTCCATGACTTTCTCCTCGATGTCCCAGTCGTATCGCGGTGCGGGGAAGATCTGAACAGGGCCCCACACACGGACATTCGGCAGCGGTGCATCATGCAGCCGGGTTACCCAAGACCACGTGACATCGTGAGTCAAGAAAGGACGGCTAGTGGGCCTCGGTGGAGTCAAGAGACAGGATCAGTCATGACGTAGGTGAATCACATGACTCTGTCTTACATAACACGAGCACAGGCCTTATCGTCAAAAAAACCGCGCGTCACCGTTCGCTGCTATGACTTGGAAATGCGCCCAACCGCTGACGGTCTTGGACTGTCGTTGCTATTCCAAGCGCATGTGACGAATGTGTTGACGAAAGATAGCGCCAACGCGTACGACTGATGAGACGTCAACAGCCGCAACCACAGTGGAGACTGACCCAGAGTCCCAGTAGCCAGCGACTGCGCCGTCACGAAGCCAATATCATCACCGCTCATCTTATCACGCCTCCTTGACGAGTCGTATCGTGCTCTTCAGCATGTGGTTATTGTCATCATCGTCGGACCCAACCCGAAACATCCGCTCAGATCTTCTCGCGTGTGTCGAAATGGTTGGGATACGCAGGGGCTCCCGGCGCCGCCTCGCACAAACAAGCTTTACCGGCCCTTCTAGGGTTTTCAGCCTCTTGTTTGCCACCCTCCGACACCACCATTAACAGCCCGGCCCCAAAGAACTAATCGTGCAGAGTTCTCCATACGCCCTCAACATATTCCTGCTCTTCTTATTCCTGTTGCTGCCCTGGACTCAGAGTAAAATAGCAGTGCGGTTCCGCATGTTCTCGATCGATGAGACGGCACCACCGCTCCACTGATGTTCTCTTACGGCACTTTAAAGCCCGCTCCCACGCTGCCCCTAGATTTGTAACCATTGGGCGGAAGAGCACAGCCAGGCTTGGACAGACCCAGTTGTACCCACTCTCTCCTTATCTCGGTTTTCCTCATTAGACCTTTCCCAAGCTTTGGCACAATGAGTCCACTTTTCTGCTACCACCCTTGGGATGCATGCATGAAAATCCTGGCCATTGCGGTATCTGCGCTCCGTCCGGTGTCGTCAGTCAAGAGAGGTTTATCAAACATTGTGCAATCCTATGCTGGGCATAGTTATTCCTTTTCGAAATGCTCATTGTAAATTGTCTTGGAATGATCTACGAGATTACTTTTCACTCGGCAAATCCGCCAAGAAGATACTCTGAGTACTCTTTTTCGCCGACAGCGTCATCGTCATTTCCGGACCTCGCGTCGGTTTCCCCCTAAAATAAATTCCACGCCAGTGCTGTCCGCTCCCGCTGCAGTGTTTTCAGGGATCTTGGCCTTTGCTTATTGTACAGTTTTGGTGCCTGTCGACATCTTGGTGCTGGTGCTCCCGAAGTGCAAGGTCCCCTGTAGCGCTGGCTCCACCCAGCTTTTGTCATGTTGCTGAGCCCAACACCGAACATTCTGGCCATTGTGTTTCGACAAGAAAAATTGGGTCTCTCCGCCACTACACAACTTGAGAAGTTTCTAACTTGTCAGCTTGACGTTCGTACGCCTGCAGCACGCCCCCGCGCTAGCGGCTCTTATCAATCCCACACACCTTTGAAGGGGTACTTTCCCAGTCACACTGTCATGATATCCCAGTCTTGCATTCATTTTTCTCATTGATCATTACCGAGCATATCCCTAGCATCCCAATTGCAAGCGACCGTATCTGCCTGCTAAGTTATCCACTGATACCCGCACACCGGTTGGAACCACGCACTATTCATTAGAGATCCACCGCTAAGTGCGTGAACCGTTCTGGACCACAGACGGGCTTCTGAGAATCGCCGAAAATATATCGTTTGCGCACAAATCAATAGGTGCAACGTTATCTGCGTCTAATAACGGAACTCGGCGCGTTACAGATTACTGCGAGTCGAGTGGTCCGTCCTGAAGTGCCCAACTAGTCTCACAGCAGTGCCCAAACCATACAAAACACCATGAACCCCTTTCACGATGCTGGCCCCTCTCGCCAGAACCACCCCGAAGCAGAAGAACAAATGTCTGCCACTCCTGGCAGGAAGCGTGTAGGCTGGAGCTCAGAACCCTCTGCTAGTCGCTCAGTCCAATCGCCCGAAGACACTGGCTCTGCGGGGCACAACACGCCCCTCGAACGCTCAGATGTATCACATGACGACCTCCAAAAGATCCGGGCTTCGCTACGACTAGCCCTTGGAAACGAAAACCTCCCTGAAGAAGTCATCCAGGAACCTGTTACATCAAAGGATGTACAGAAACCTCGTCCAGCTATACGGAAACCTGGTCCTCGAACACCTCCACCAGAGTTCTACCTCAATGATCAGCCCAATCCCTTTGACGAGAATGTTCCATCCAGGCAGTCTTCAATAGGGCAAGACCTCAAAGAGCGGTCTGGTCTTGCAGCCCAACGCCGTGCAGCAAGACTATCCAAGTCGGTCGGTACATATTCTGCTCCTGCATCACGACGTAACTCCAACGAGCTCGCCTCACCACCGGTTGAGCTCCAGAGCATGTCGCAGCAGCATGAGTCAGTGGGAGAAACAACTGATGATGATGAGGACGATCCTCGCTTCATGAAGCGCGCTTCCATGATTCTTCGACAACATACTATCCGAGAAGCCAATAACCAACCTCCACTGATCCCAGAAGACCTCTACCACGACGTCAAAACTCCACTTCAATCCGGTCAGGTCACACCAGATGCGTTGGAAGTTGAGGATGAGCGCGTGGTTCGACCCACCAAATATCGCACAGGAGTGCTTGGTACCTTGATGAAGATGTCAAGCAACGCGGGAGCCCCTCCAGCTCGCAAGAACACTCTCCACCGAAGTCTCAGTACCGGCACATTCAGCGGTGCGTCGACTGCAGCCAACTCCCCGAACCCCTCACCGCCCGTCTCCGGATACTCAACTCCACGTGGAGGTCGCTCTTGGTTCCGAAATCACCATCACAATCAATCAGTTGCGTCCGTCTCCCAGTTGGTTGGAGCATCGGCACATAGCTTTGCTACGCCTGCGCAGAAAGAGCTTGGTCAGGAGTTGGATGAACAATACAAGAAGACCCGCCCTGGCATGGGAAAGCGGTCCAAATCGGACGATTCCATATTGCCGTTCAAGAGGAATAGGAGAAAGGAAGAAGAGATCAGGATCAAGATCCACCTCGCTGGTACCTTGGCGCGCCAGAACTATCTCCGCAAGCTTTGCAAGGCGCTCATGATGTACGGTGCGCCTACTCATCGTCTGGAAGAGTACCTGAGCATGTCTGCTCGTGTCTTGGAGATTGAGGCACAGTTCTTGTACATGCCCGGCTGCATGATCATCGCCTTCGATGACTCTTCCGTTCACACTAGTGAAGTCAAGCTTGTTCGTACCAGTCAGGGTGTCGACCTTGGCAAGCTTCGCGACGTGCATGAAATCTACAAAGATGTCGTTCACGACCGCATCAATGTTGAAGAAGCTACACCGCGTCTCGATGCCATCATCAATCGCAAGGCCAAGTTCAACAAGTGGCTTAGAGTACTTCTGTATGGATTGGCATCCGCCACCGTCGGGCCGTTTGCCTTCCAGGCTCGGTTCATCGATCTTCCTTTTTGCTTCCTACTCGGCTGCATCATTGGATGGTTGCAACTAGTTATCGCCCCAGGCAATGACCTCATTAGCAACGTCTTCGAAATCGGCGCATCAGTCATTACCAGTTTCGCGGCGCGGGCTCTTGGGTCTATCAGACACGATGGCAAGGAAATCTTTTGCTTCAGTGCCATGGCGCAGTCCAGTATCGCCCTTATTCTACCCGGTTTCATGGTTCTCTGTGCCTCGCTCGAGTTGCAAAGTAAGCACATTGTCGCTGGCTCAGTTCGCATGGTCTACGCAATCATCTACTCCCTCTTCTTGGGATTCGGCATCACCATTGGTACAGTCTTGTACGGAATGATGGACAAGAACGCAACCTCGCGCACAACATGCCACGACCCCATGTCGACAAACTTCTACTATCTCTTCGTTCCCGCATTTGCGATTTGCCTTCAGATTGTCAACCAAGCCAAATACAAGCAGATGCCTTCCATGACCATCATTGCATTCATCGGATGGATTGTCAACTTCCAGAGCTCCAAGTACTTCAAGAACAACGCGCAAGTCAGCAACACCCTAGGCGCTCTTGCCATTGGTATTGCAGCCAACGTACATGCTCGTTTTGGTCGTCACATCGAGAACTGGTGCCTTGATACATGGGAGATCAAGATGCGACCTCACTTCGTGAAGTTCCGCAAGATGTATCTCAGGAAGAACCACGGACCGCTTCGCACCCACAAGGTGGAGCGCTCAGCTTATGATCCTACATCCACTAGCAGTGGCCACACTTCAAGGGCTAGCTCCATCAGCGAGTTCACGCCTCACACTCGCAAGATTGGGTATGGATTGGCCGCTGCTGCCATGTTACCAGCCATCTTTGTTCAAGTCCCCTCTGGTCTCAGTGTGCAAGGGTCGCTTGTATCTGGCCTGATATCGGCTGATCAAATCGTGCGCAACAGTACTGGAAACGCCACAACAATCAGCGGTGCCGATGTTGGCATGGGCAGCTCTATAAATTCCATCGCGCTTGACGTCGGTTTTTCTGTCGTGCAAATTGCGATTGGTATCACCGTTGGCCTTTTCCTTGCCGCGCTCATTGTGTACCCACTTGGCAAGAGGAGGTCAGGTCTATTCAGTTTCTAGAGCAATTGTGTTGGGTTGGAGAGTTTCTTTGGAACATAGATTTTTTTACAGTGGCCATTGTATAGGCTCACTCTATTATTTTGTTTAAAAAGCAAGCGAGTCATGCATTTACATGGAGTTTGGAGTTTCTTTTCTTGTTGCCAACCTACAACGACGCAACGAACGATCTATAGAATTAGATAACACGATTCAACACACATTTTTCCACTACACACAATGCATGCATCACTTCTGCACAAAAGCTTCTGCTCACCGCACTTTTCTCTCGCTTCAAGTCTGCGCTTTTGCCACTCTGACGATGACATCACCAGACATATCTTGGCATTTGGCTCGAAAGGATGCACTTCCGAATTGGGTTTAGTAAATCCCGCGGCTTTCGCGCAAACGCATTCTGCCTACGTTGAGAATTCCCGTGTCTCCACCACGAACTTATGCAACAGCGGGATGGGAATGTACGAGATATGCGTATGCCGACGTGTCACATGTGGGACGCTCCGCAATGTCGCTTGCAGCGGGTCACTGTTGTATGGGGACAAGCAGCGGGTTGCCGTTTCTCCTGTTAGTGTAAAGTGATCACCGTGTATAGTTTCTTGTTGGAAAACGCGCATAGCATAGACTTGGAAATGAGGGCGTAAGTGTACAAATATTTCTTATGCATATTAACTGCCCTTCCAAAAGTTTCGCAAAGATAGAAAGAGAAAGAACAAAACAAAATCCAGCGGACTATCTGTGCCATGTCTTGATACTCTTGGCTATGTAGCTGAATAATGTCGATTACCAAGCTCGCTGTCCACGCATCCCCGAAATATAGTTACAACCCCCAGAATTCATATACAAAAAACCAACATAAAACTATAAAATCAACCCCAAATCCCCCATTTCACCCACAACCACAATGACAATAACCCAACTCCTCACCTTCACCCTCCCATCCCCGCACCACGACA